AGCAATTAGACACCACTCAGTGTGAATAGGTAATGGGAATGCAACTTAAAATGTTGCCATACTTTTTCTCTCATTTTACATCACGAGTAAAGTGTTTGCGCCGTCGTTTCGGGTACGCTCGGAACATTTTATTTGTTTGTTAGTATCGTATAAATGAGGTTGATTATTATAATTTCAGTAAAATTACTGGCATTATCCTGCTACCAAAAATAAGTGAGTTTAACGACGTTTTCTCGGAACTAAAGATGCTGCCGGAGGCGATGTCGAACAGCACGCGATATCACCAATAACCTTGAACTTATCTATATTCTTTAATATTTAAAACATTTTAAATGATATTTAAATATAATATATGCTTTAATTATAATATAAATAATCACTATCATATTTTTTTTGTTTAGATTTTGAAAATGTAAACTAATTCATTTTTATTTATTGCTATCCAATACTACAGCTTTTAAAATTTTCTTAATTTATTAATAATTTATGAAAAAATGTATTTATTTCAAACCGAAGTTTATAGATAGAGATGCATTTGTTCATTGTGACAAATTGAAATTGAGTTTAAAATTTTAAAATGATAGGTATAGATAGTTAGATGGACTAACATACAATCCTTTAAGATATAAATATAAATAAATAAAATCAATAGAAATGTCCATATTGAAATAACATTATTAAATAGGTCACACTATAACGCTTGAGTTATTATATTTGAATAAAATATATAATTATATCGATTATTGATGACTCGGAAAAATTGTGAACTATTTACAAAAGATTGCTTTTCAATTCAACTATATTTTAAACAGAGTTTAAAATTATGCCTTTTTATTTAAAAAAAGAAACTCAACTCGATCTTCTTAATAGCTTATTCTGTACACTCTCATCATTAATTCTGTTTAAAGCTTCTATATAAGTTGATTAGAGAGTACTTAGTATTTGTTAAAGGTAGATAATTTTGTTGTACATATAAATATATATTTAATACCAAAACTAATAAGACATCCCCTTACCCTGGACAGCCAGTGAAGGCGTGAAACCGCGCTAGTTACGATCATTAGACCGTTCCACACATGGCGGCCACGAATTGTACCGCAGCAAATTATTTATTTAAATGGAAATTATCGCTTTGTGACGACCGAAATACATGCGCATGTGTTTAATTTGATCGACATATGGCTATAGTTTTTGTGCATCGAGAACAGATTTCATATTTTTGTGGCCTGTAATGTTTTCCGATTTTAATGTTTTTATGTTGACCTCCTTTGTTGATTCATCTCATTCGAATTATTTTTTATCTGTGGTTTCTTTAAATGATGTATTTTTAATCTGTTGTTCGTTTAATGACACGTTATTTATGAACATAATAGCAGCTAATATTTCATTTGAGTTATAAAAATAATTATTTATATATGATAATATTATTTAAATTATACTGAATTCTTATACTTTCCGAATAAAATGATTTAGAATTTCGTAATGCGTAAGACAAATTTAGAGATTGGACCATTAATTTTGCTATAAAAATGTTAATAAAAATTCTAATTCAGTTAGTTAAACTTTAGTTTAATGCGGGTTATATTATCTGTATAATTATGTTTAATTAACTATGTTTTTAAACGTTCATTTCATTACACGAAAGTCGACGTGTCGCAAGCCCGCACTTTTAAAATTGGACACTTGCGTGCGGGAACACTAATGTAGAAATAATGCCTCCTCAACTAATACTTTGAATAGATTTAAGTTGGGCAAACAAATTATTGATGATATGTTTTAGTTGTGCAAACAAATTTATAATTAAACAATGTGTATTAAAATCTTTTAAGCATGATATATAAAGAGAAAGACTTCGCACAAAGAGAATTCTGATATTAGATTTCTAATATACCTACCAAATCTATATTCTACAATTTGATAATTATGTTATCTAGCCGTTATTCGAACATGATAATCTTAAACTATATATATATACAGTTTTAATTTCTACATGCATCTAATTATAACAGGAACTGAAATACATATAATACAAATACAATAACTTAATTTTAGTAGACTTGTATTACAGAAATATATTTTCTTCTCAAAATCTTTATATTATCAGAATACAAATCAAAGTATCCGGAATAGTCCGCACATAATCGATATATACCCCATTAAATGTGTCAAATTGCTACGGAACCCCTTGCCCTGTTAATGTCCTCATACGTAATTAGACAGTTCATTATAGTCCGGCTAAGAATTATTCAGTAATTTGATGTCATACACTAATTGGACAACAACAACCCAATACTGTTTGATTGATGACTTTAAATAAATATACTTTTAGTTTATTTCATATATATAAAATATTTCTAAAATAAATAAATCTCTCTGTAAATTTAATTCTATATAATCTAAACGTCACTAACAAACAATAAGCCATAAATTTTGTATGTTAGTTTGCATTAGAATTGCGATGGGGGAGCGTACAGTTTCATCCGGAATTAACAGGATAATTCTATAATTGTACAATTAGCTAACGGCAATTTGATCTCGGCTTCAACGTGCTGCGACACTCGACTTGTTTTATACTCTGGATTCGTTTTCAATTATATAATAAAATAGAATCATTATAACTTAAAATAAACGAAAAATTTTGTTTAATCGAGCTATTATATAATACTATCGAAACTTGAGGATATATTCATCATATAACAAAATTAAAATAAACATAAAAAATTTAAGTGTAACCAAAAGTTAAGAACACCCTACAGATTAGGTATACACACAAAAGCAAGTTCTAATACGATCTATATTTGAGCTAAATCATAATTCGAATCAAGTAAACCTAAATAAAACCGATATGAGCAACAATCAACCATAAATCGATTCATCATTACAACTTTCCGATCAAATTATGTATTAAAATAAACTATTCATTATAATTTTAATATAAAATTTTATTGTACACATAATAAATAACAGATTGCGAACGTAATAACACTAGCGTCATTATATAAACGACGTGTCCAAAAAAAAAATATTAGGTCATAAGTATAGTTATGAATTTTATGAAATACAATTTTCCCAGTAACGAGTTCACGATCATCTTAATAACGAGCTGAGAGTTAAGCGTTTCGCTTGAATATTCATTTCGGTTCGACATAATTTTGGTAGATAATTTAATATTATCGTATATGCGGGAAACGATTTAGAACTTGTTAGTAAATAAAATATTTTACAATTAAATTTTGGTGTTAGGTATATTTGATAGTGAATTACTTTGGAGGTTTTTCCTTATAAAATACGGAACCATAAAATATCACTATTGATATAAAAACAAACATCCAGTCATATGTTGCTACATTTGCTATTATTATTAGAAGATATTAATATATTTATATCAGTATTCATTATGCGGTCTCGTTAAAATCACTCCGGTCTCGTTAAAATAAAGCTTAAGTCTAATTGCTAAACAAATTACACGTTTTAATTAACGAGCTGGTCTAATTCCGATCTTAATTCAATATTAATATCATTGTTTCACTCACAATACAAGAGATTTCCGATAGTGAACAGTATAACTATCAACATTATGTATATTTAGAACTTAATTCATACTCTTATATCCCTCAACACCAACTTTACCTGTTCCTATACCACAATTCAGTGGTCGACCTGATTTCATCCGGCTCATATTTTTTATGACAATGATCTTCGTCATTTTTGACATGGAAAAGGCCATCTTGTAATGCCGCTGTGGCGCCGCTGTGTCGGCTGACAGTCATCTTCGCTTTGATCCAATCGGGTTTGGAGCGAGTTGACCAATTACCTATATCATTCTGTCCATTCCCAAATGGAAGATAATGCCTAGGGTAATTATGACTTCAGCCGGACTAATTCCAAACGTATTATCTCCAAATTGCTGTGACGTAACATATAGTGTTAGTAACACAGAATTATTATAATGATTGTTTTATTTGAATATTGTTATATGACTGTTTTAATTCACAATATTTTTGTATCAATTGACCTAGAATATATTATTTTTAAGTGTCCTGTTAAAAGCAATATCAATAAATCATAAAATCAGAGGTTGGATGCTAGAAAATAGACTAGAATATAGAAAACAACTTGATTGTCCAGTATCGAGGCACTGAGTGAATGATGCTTAATTAGAAAGTATAATCATTTCGATAAACTAAAAGCTGTTAAAAAATTTTATGTTACTGTACTTATATATTTTACAGTTGAATATCTATCCTAACTTTATAATTAAAGTCACATTTTAGCAGATTAACTCTATATTCAAGCGATTTAAAAATATATTTATTTTTAAATGCAATATTTTAAAATTACTATACCTAATTAAGCTTACCCACGTCATAATCGTTTTCACTAAAAAAAGATTTTTTTTCTCCATCAAAAGTGCCTAAACAATTTTCAATTATAATTTTGGTATTAAAAAAGTTTAGGTATATTAGAGATACTTCGTTATTATTATTTTTAAAGAACTGATTATGATGTAACATAGATATAAAATAACATTTATGACAACAATTTCGCAATAGGAACGTGAAATTTTGTTGTAGTAGATGTATTTTAATTCTTTTAATACTTTTTTATGTTGTAGTAGATGTATTTTAATTCTTTTAATACTTTTTTATGTTGTAGTAGATGTATCTTAATTCTTTTATGAAGTTTTGAAAAAAAAAACTGAAAAAGTGTTTAATAAAAGCTCTCATTAAAGTAGGAAACCAAAACATTTGTTACGGATACTGTTGTCTAGCATTTGTTATAAGCAAAACTCACCTATAAAACCTCCTTTAACAGTTAAAAAATAAATTCTAAAACACAATATTGTCTTAACAAATTTATATTACGTAAACTGAACAAGATACACACATACATAATTTAGCCAAGCATGTAATGTAGAGAGAATCATTCAAATTGGCATTCATTAAGGTTTAATTGGTTCTGTCTAATTATGAGCAGCTATTAATTCAATTTGCTGTTAGATAGCTTCAAATTCTAGAGTAACAGTAAACAGGAATCAGCAGTTCGGAGCACATTGCGGCAACAGCTGCGCCAATCACAATGTACTGGGCGTGGCGCTCCCCGACTCGAACCCTGGTCCCCGGATTATATTATTACTTACAATGAAGCTTTTTTATCGTGCCTTTGTCTCATAGGGTGAAATATCCGGTCGGATGTACCATCTCCGTTCCTTATTGAATCCGAAATGAATACCGAAAGGATTGTTGTATAATATATGTATGATATAACTCCATTCATATTTTATTCATGCAACATATATGGAATATTTATTAAGGAAGTGTAAATAATACTAGTGATGTAGTATAATGAGTCTGGGACTCGTTTTAATACGGACTCATTCTGTATATATTAATTAGGACGTCCCGCGGCGGGCGGTAGCGGCCGGGAGCTGTCACCGCTCCGCCTAATTGTAAATACGCTACCTATAAACTCAAAGTAATTTATTTATATTGTTTTAAGAGCTTCGGGCGCAATCCGAAGACTTTTGCATTAGTTCTCATATAAATTTGATCATAAATCAGGACCGGTTGATTCTCACGGTTCCTTAATTAAACTTCTATTAAAAATGTTTATGTCCGTTCTAAATTATTAAGTAATAATTATCAATTTACAGGAGCATCCGAACTTGCGCGGCACGCCACTGGCGATGCTCGCTGCTCAGTGCAGCAAGCTGTCCAGTAAGTCACCACCTCCGCTGGCTGATGCAGCGGTCGGCAAAGGTTTTCATCCGTGGAAGAAAAGCCCTGGGACGCATTCACCACCGGGAGCCGGTGTGGTGCCTCGATCGCAGGCATCAGCTTGCACACCGTACGCACGAGCGCCTACCTCATGTGCCGCAGCACCTTCATACGGAAACGAGCTCTACTTTCCTTCATCGGGTGATCAGTTGCTAGGGAAAAGTGAATCGAGCGCCAGTCTAGGCTCCATGTACTCAAGACACCCTTACGAGTCCTGGCCCTTTAATGTTGGAGGCGGCGGTGGTAGTGGTGCATTGAAAGCAGCTGAAATGGGTGGTGTTAGCGCTGTAGGTAGTACTTGGTGGGATGTCCACAGTGGGTGGTTAGACGTTGGAGGACAAATGGCCAACTACGCTGGGCAAGATTATTCTCAATTGACGCACTCTCTTTCTGGTGGAGCTCATTTACTTCCTCCGGCGCCACACCTCCTACAAGACGCATATAAATCTGTGTTGCCTACACAAGGGTCTTTCGGTCTTCATGCACCAGGATCCCCCGCACCACCAGCTCAGGCTCCGTCACCACGATCTCAGCGACGGTACGCCGGCCGAGCTACATGTGACTGTCCTAATTGTCAAGAGGCCGAAAGACTCGGACCGGCTGGAGCTCATCTTCGTAAGAAAAATATACATAGTTGTCATATACCTGGATGTGGGAAAGTATACGGAAAAACATCCCACCTTAAGGCTCATCTACGCTGGCACACTGGCGAGCGGCCTTTCGTGTGCAACTGGCTGTTCTGTGGAAAACGTTTCACACGCTCCGATGAACTGCAGAGGCATTTGAGAACGCACACAGGAGAAAAGAGATTTGCATGTCCGGTGTGCAACAAACGTTTCATGAGGTCGGATCATCTCGCTAAGCATGTGAAGACTCATAATGGAGGAAAGAAGGGCAGTTCGGAATCTTGTTCGGATTCTGAAGAGAACAGCCAAGGAGAGAGTCATGCTGGTGGAAGGTCGCCAGAGCATCACTTGGATGTGAAACCTGGTGCACTCGTGTGACGGGGGTCCGCGGCGCTGCCAGTGCCGCATCACGCCTCGCTCCTGTGATAATGACAGCCGACGTCTCCGCTCGTGTAAATAGCACATATCACTGTAAACGTTGAAATTATAGACATTTAGCAGTGAGATTTATAGTGCATTTGTGGTGAACTAAAGTGTACAGTATATATATAAAAAATATTGTTTATAATTAAGTTAGATATATATATTATAACAAAATAGTATAAGTAGAATCGCACTCTTAGTCCAAAATCACAGTTGTAATTTATTTCTTTAATGTTTTTGTTTCAATGAAGTATATATATATATGATCGAGGTGAAATCCTTGTATATGAAAATAATAGTATATGACACTTGGATTCTTTATTTTCTTTGTATTAAAATTATAATTTTTTTAGTCTTCTTAAATGATTTTATTAAATCAGTACAATGTAGTGTGAAAAACAATTGGTGTTTTCTAATTCATTATCTTAAAGCATCTAACAAAACTATACGTAATAAATAGTACTATAAATAAATTTTCTGCTAAGAAACGTCCAACGATTGTAAACGATTCCTGGTTTGTGAGTATCAACGCCGAAGACACAGTAATTATTTTTGTTAATAAAGTTATATTGCATAAGCTTGAAGATTTAAATATATGAGAAAATATTTGTTACGTGTACAAAATTGTGCGAATAAATTTTGCCTGATATGATTTTATAAAAATTGAATATATTTTTTTCCGAGTGGATATTTGTATTTTTATTCCTTTTATACCTTTGATTAAAGTTAATAATTCTATAATCTATCAGCTACATATCGTTTTTTGCCAAAAATAAAATAGAATCATACATTTTCTAAACTCACTAATACAGAAACTTTTAAGAAAAGAATAGAATTTTGTTTGAATATAGAGACTCAATCCATGACTTTTTATAATTAGAAAAAATTTCTAAATTAGAAATCCAAACATATTAAAATTACCTGAAAAATAAAAATATTTTTTTTAATTCTTTCTTGTATTTATATTCATTACATTTAAACTTATAATATAATGCTAAATATTTAACCTTCCTCTCTTAAATATTAAAATATTGATAAGCACTAGAAATAAAATTTCAGTTTATACTTAGATGTGCAATTTCTTTATTAAATATCAATCAATAGTATTTTCAATAAATAAAAAAACTACAAAGAAGGTAACTCAACCAAGAAGCACTGTGAAAACAGGTAAATACGCCGTGAATTAATATAATACGTAGTTATGTTTTATCCTGTTTATTTCACTAAAAAGCAAAAAAGGGAAAATAAAAATATATATATAATATTGAACAGCTTGCTTTGCGAATTCATTTTGATTTCTTACATTTCGTTACTCACCATAATATTTGCAAACATACATAAATGAAATAAAATTTAATGACATCTGAATTATTCGCTAGTGAACATTTAAATGAAAGATGATTAACAGATTCACTACACTTATTTCTATATTATTTGACATATTATCCAAAAATAAGATTACTTTACAGACGAGATGAAAGTATGTATGATGAAAAAAATTAAATTTAATTTAACGGAATTCTTTCACCAGTTTACATTTACATTCTAACTTGTTTAATGTTAGAATAATTTTGGTTAAATTCACGTCGGGTACATAGAGACAGTAACTATAATAAAAAACAGAGCCAGCTTATGTTAGGACAGTCATCGTTTTATATTTTAATATAATCAGTTCTATGGCAGAAAATAATTCATAGTTTTTAATCCTGACGTATATTCAACAAAAAATAATTTCAAACACATATAAAATAATTAAAATCTCAATTAGAATCAAATGATAACAGATACTGTCAAAAGTATGAGGTAATTTGTTTTATAAATATGAAGAATTAAAACATCTGAAGACAGCTCTGAATTAATTTAGTTCAAAGAGTGATTCAGTACAATTAAATATTCACGGTAGCTGATTTTTAATTATATCGACCATTCATATTATAGCTTACTTTTAACTTGACGAAAACTGTTGGATTTAAAATAAGTTATGTTAGAAAAGGAATAGAATCAGTCATAGGTTTTACGTTTTTTTCCAAATATAAAAATATTTACAAATAACATAATCAATAATAAAATTTAAGTAGATCTTCGATTCCCCCTTAATTCACATACATTAATAATTAACACACCACTTCTTCTTCTTCTACCTGGCAATTTCCCAGCTTTTAGCCAGGGTCTGCCTTACATGTTGTGAATAGTTTTGGCTAATTGTTTTTACGACCGGCCGCCTGCCTGACATCAACACTCTTTGGGAATGCATTAATCAGTGGTGTCTAAATACTCTTAGAAAGTATATGACTAGGAAAAATCACATAGGTACTTGCCAGGGCCACGATCGAACCCGCGCCCTCGTGCATGAGAGGCGAGCCTTTTAACCACTAGGCCACCACTGAATTAACACACCACTTCTACTATTATAAAGCAAGTCTGTAGGAGGCATATTATGGTAAATCATAATATCATAGGTCGTATTTTTCATATAAAATTTGGTAATGATAAATAAAGTCTGGATTAAAACTATAGCTAATGCATAAGATATATTCAAAGTTCAAAGAAATTAGACTTTTTTGTAACGTCTTAGTTAGGTGACTTTTTTGTATTTTCTTATAAAGATCAGTAAAGATATTAGCCAGTAATATAGTTTTTTTATAATAAATTAATTGGGTATTTTGAATATTTTGTGCACTGTTTTTAAAATAAAAAATATTGTTTTTAAAACTGTTTTTTTTAAATGAGGATAGTAGGTTACACATAATGTCCACAGATATCTCTTCATTAAATCTGCGTACAAAACCGTCAAATGGTACAAAAGTGCCCATCTTCAAACTATACATATATTTTTAAATGAGAACATGAAATTACGTTTAATTTAAGCGTACATTTTTCCTGCACACAATTTCATGATATTTTTTTTCGAAAAAATTAATGTAAAAAACAAAAGTTAGAAAAGTTAAATAAAATCCATGTTGAGACAAAGTCAACAGCAAAACTATTTATATTTTTTATTTATTTGTATAATCATTTAAGTCATTTACAAACCATGATCACGCTTCTGATATTCCACAACTTTTTAATCAAGAAATTTGGTATAACAACTATGAAGGTCCAAAAGGCTATGAAAATCGTTTAAAACTAGACTGTATACCCATGATCATAGCGTTGAAATCCATTTGATACTCCAAGTTGATAAGGTCTGTAAGTAATTTATATAAGGCCGCAAAGAGGGCGACGAGCGTCGTAAAAAGCGAATTGAAACCACGTATAATGAGGGGAGCGGGTGTCGCCGCGGGTGGGCATCCACTCGTGCTCAAAAACTGAGTAATACCGGAGTCATCTGCAAGCCGCAGACTCCATTTCGCTCGTGTCGAGTCTAGCTTAATCTTAATATTAATGACACGCGACGGTGGTCCCCTCATTGATATCTCTATTCCTTCAAATGGCCTGTTTTTGTTTAAAGCAATCTAGCGTAGTGTCAGTCATTGAAAATAATCATCATTGTTTTATTTATCCTCTATAGTGTGTGGACATTAATATTTAATAGATTGATTGCAGCTTTGTGATTGTTTGTATTGAGTAATGAAACAAGTCAGTTTCACTAGGTTTTTTATCGATACTTATTGACTAATATTTATGTATCATTTAAATACAATGCTGTTTGTCTGAGTCATCTGCTTGTTTGAAACTCAGTTCTGAAACGTGAATTTTACGCAATCTTATTCGTTTCTACGTAGGTTAAATTTAAATAGTATTCTTAGATTGTATTTTGTCATCATATTCAAAGGAAGACGGGATAAAAGATTCTGTACAATTTAGAAAAATGAGAAAACATAATTTTGTTTGACGTATAGGTATCTACCTAAAGATTGAACATTTTTGGTAATGTTCAGTTAATTCTTTCAAACCGAAATAACAACATTAACATTTAACATGAACATATTAAATGAGTACATAGTAATCTAGTAAAGTATAATACCGTTACACTAAATACAGATTTATAGCCCCTAAACGAATTACTTTGAATCTGATTGAGCGTGGAGGACTCTTGCTTGTTATGCCTTCGTATTAGAGGGTTGGAAAATTAATATTGGGGAAAGCTGGAGATAATTTGAATTTATTTTACTTATTGCATAAAATGTATTCGTTTAGAAGATATTAAGGTCAATGAAAGGTCTATTAATTAATAGTCTTTCAGAATTAAAAATGAAATTTTACCGTTAAATTAATAAATACATGTACATAAATACAAATTATTGTATTAAGTTTGTGTTTATTTTGCATATACAAGTAAAAATTTATGAGTGATACATATCGATACATAGTTTCTGAGTAATAGCTACCGATACATACATACATTCTAATTTAATATTTACTAACTAAACGAATATAGGTCTGTTTTAAACGTAACAGATGCTCGTAAGCGATGTCAGTCCATTCACAATCCGTTAAGTCGTACACTAAATGTTGCCTCTTACCTACAAGAGTTATGCTCAGCCTTTGAGCTAAATGTTATGTGGCGAGAAAGATCTTTAAATGTTATTGCCTCACAACAGAGAAATGGAACGGAACATCAAACGCGAGCAACGCCAGGTGCAAGGGAAGAGTGTTCCTGTTAACAATGTAACACATATTATTGCTTTAAATAATAATTATTTAATCCTTTAACATTTGTATTCAAGGGTTACCAATACGAGAATTTATTTGGTTGTATCTTTCTCTCTTCTAGCAAACTGCTAATTAAATCATTGAATGTATGAAATAACTATAATATTACACTTTCTAAGCACCCTCAAAGTAAAATAATTTAACTACAGTTACTGTGGTACCCTACAAATTATTGTGTATGTTTTTCATTACACAAGCTAACTTAATTGTTATAAATTTCTTTGTAAGCACATCATATTACTGGTGCTATATATTAAAAATAAATGGAAGTATCACATTACACTAATTTACTCATATGA